TTCACAAACCCAACAGATCCTTATAGAAGGTGCTAAAATCTAATGAAGAGCTTCTAATGAAGTGACAGGCATTTTTCTTTCCTGTTGATTATAAAACTCATGTCCCTGAATCTTGTTTATAAAATCAACTGCTCAATGTTCAAAATCCTTTGCCATTCTTGCTGGTGCCTGAATCTTAAGCTGGCACTTCTTAATATAAGACTAAGTGCTCATGTTGAAAACTCTTGGGTGAATAGAGTTGCATCGTAAGAGCTATAATTTTTATTTGCTGCTATGAAATGACAAAGAAGGATTTTTTCAACAATATCTCATCTGTAGGATCTTCCTGGCCATGTTATCCACATTGTCCCTCTATCTGATATAAATCTGCTGAGAAAACTCATCAACATTAATTTGAGGTACAAAAGTACATCTATACTGAAAGGCATACTCTTTATGTACAGTATACAGTGGCAGTTAAACTGAAAACTTAACAAATGGCAATAATGGGGTGGGAGCAGCAAAAAAGAATCACATTTTGTCATCGAACTCAAATATAATTTAAGTTAAATTTGAATTCACAGCTGTATGGGATCAGCCTCTCTTGTGTTGCTGGAAAGATTGATGTTTGCACCAGGGTGGTGTGATAAAGGATGGCACTGGTATTGGATGTTGCAGCACGTCAGGCAGCTTGAGCCATAGATCTAGTCATGGGGGATTTAGGTGGGAAAATATCCTTGGTGGTTATACACCAACATTAGCTTCAGCCAGATGTACTCATTCAACATGAGAATTAAAACACCACTCAAGATAATTGAATAAGTAACTGAGGAGAAGGAAAATTTTGAAGAAGCAAGATGGAACAGCAAATCGGTTAGTTTCAAAAGAGGTCAATCACTACATATTGATTGTGTATAAGCAGCAAAATAATTTTTTTTAATGTACATTTAAAAAAAATTCAATAACTGGACGAGGGCAGTGCTGACCAGGCGGCATTTATTGCCCATTCCTAAATGCCCAGTAGGCAGTTCAGAGTCAACCACATTGCTGTGGGCCTGGAGTCTCATGTGGGCCAGACCAGGTAAGGATGGCAGTTTCCTTTCCTTAAGGACATTAGTGAACTCAGATGGGTTTTTCCCGATAATCAGCAATGGATTCGTGGTCATCATTTGATTCCTCGTTCCAGATATTTTTATTGAATTCAAGTTCCATCATTTCCCATGGTGGGATTCAAACTGGGTCCCTAGAACATTATTTGAGTCTCTGGATTAGCAGTTCAGTGATAATACCACTAGGCCATCGCCTCTCCATATTGGTGAGGAGGTTTGGAAAGGACGAGTTAGTTGCAACTTGAACAACTTTTTAAAGTAGTAAGCAAATAGAATTGAAGTACATATGTAAAGTTTCAGCGTTACTGACCTGTAATATTTTTCCCTGTCACTGTTGTATTTTCTTTTCAGTAAATTTACTGTATTACTGCAGTGGATGCTATGTTAGGAACATGGGAGGCAAGATTCCATAACAGAGAGATGATGGTGTTGGTTTATCGTAGAATCTCTACAGTGCAGAAAGAGGCCATTTGTCCCATTGGTCTACACTGACCCTCTGTAGGTCATCCCTTCTAGACCCAACACCCCCACCCTATCCCCACATTTACCATGGCTACACCAACCGAGCCTGCACATCCATAGGCACTACGGGACAATTTAGCAATCCACCTAACCAGCACATCCTTGGACTCTGGGAGGAAACCCATCCAGACATGAGGAGAATGTGCAACCTCCACACAGACAGTCACCCAAGGAATCGAACCTGCCTCCCTGGCACTGTGAGGCAGCAGTGCTAACTACTGTGCCACCCTGCTGCCCAAAGGACATTGACCAAGACATTAGATGATCACTTTTTAAAATAGCCATGCAAACCACAAACAGATCTTCAGAACCTTGTTCTAATATTTGTTCGGAAGGGCTGCATATTATGATAATTCAGTGCTTGCTTAGTACTGTACTGTTTTTGGACTGACTCCACAAACTCTAACTTAAGGTGAGAATGCTACCAACTGAATCAGCTAGTAGGACACAGTTCCCTCTTGATAGTTCATTGTTTTTTGTGTTTAAAAATAATGGAATTATCTAATCATTTTAAGGTAATTGATGGAAATAGCGTAACAAAAGAATACTTGTTAGCTAAAGTTGAAGCTATGGAATGAAAACAAATTATTGATATGGTTAGGAAATTGGTGAACAGGAGATACAAAATAGGGATAATTGGCAGAATGTGACTATTGGTGCCCCACAGGTTGTATATTGGGGCCTGTACCCTTTATTTTTTATTAACGATTTAAATGATGAGCTAGGAGCCAACATATGTAAATTAACTGAAGACAAAAAAAAGGTAGCATTATAAATGGTGCTAATGGAAGCATAAAATTACAAATCAATTAATCGAATAAGTGGCAGAACAGTGGAGATGGATTTCTATGTAGGCAAATTTGAGGCCATCCAACTTTAAACCTGTTCTCTTAAATATTCTGTAATATTCTGGTCCAATAAAGCAGGCTGGGCAGTAAAGATAAACTCATGAGGTCCAAGGGACAGTTACAGGCTGGTTTGAAGCTGGGTGCAAAGGCCACTTGGCCTGATCTATCACAATCAAATTAATTTGATCTCTCGTTGACTATATTGTGATAATAGACGTGGATTAATTCTACAAGAAACAAATCAAACCTCCATTTATCTCCCACTTAAGTTGTTCCTTGTTGCTGATAATGATGGTTTTCCATGGACTGTAGTGTGGAGCTGCGTCAGAATTATTTTGATTCTCTGAATATTTTTCCTCTGCTGCTTCCCATTTCTAATTAAAATATTGATTCCTGCACAGAGTTTGTTCTGTTGCTCAGACAGAGATTTACTATTCGCACTGGGAAACTGAAATAATAGCTGAATGTTTCCAATTCAATTACAACATTTAAAAGGCATGTGGATGGGTACATGAACAGGAAGGGTTTAGAGGGAAAGGGGCTAAATGCTGGCAGATGGGACAAGATTAATTTAAGATATCTGGTTGACGTGGGCGAGTTGGACCAATGACAAGTCGGACCAACGACAAGTCAAAATACAGAAGAGAGATAGAGGGCTTGGTGATGCGGTGCAATGAAAACAATCTGTCTCTCAACATCGGCAAAACTAATTAACTGATCATCGACTTCAGAAAGAAGGGAGGAGAACATGCCCCCGTCTACATCAACAGAACTGAGGTTGAGAGATTGAAGAGCATCAAGTTCCACAGAGTGACAATAACCAACAACCTGTCCTGAACTTTCCACGTAGATGCAACAGTCAAGAAGGCAGAACAAGACCTCTTCTTCCTCAGGCGGCTCAGGAAATTTGGCATGTCCATAAGGTCCTTCGCCAACTTTTACAGATGCACCATTGAAATCATACTGTCTGGGTGCATAACGGCTTGGTATGGCAACTGCTCTGCCCAGGACCGTAAGCAACTATAGAAGGTGGTGTGCACAGCCCAGATCATCACAGAAGCCGACCTTCCATCCATGGACTCTATTTACATGGCTGCCACGGAAAGGCAGCCAACATCATCAAAGATCTATCGCACCTGAGTAATGACCTACAACCTCTTTCGTCAGGCAGAAGATATAGAAGCCTGAACACACGCATGAGCTGGTTCAGGAACAGCTTCTTTCCAGCCATTATCAGACTGTTGAATGGACTCTAACCACAAATAATGTAACCTGCAATGTAACCTGTATGCCTCTATGTCTTTTTGATCTGTACTTCCCTTGCTTGCTGTGATCTGCCTGTACCACTTGTAAACAAAGCTTTTCACAGTATTTCCGTATATGTGACAATAAATCAATCAGTTTCCGTGCTGTATAGCTCTATGACTCTGAGTAGGATAGAACAGTGTGCCTTCTAAAGTTGAAAACACTGGGGATTCAAAAAAAGACTTAGCGATATAGCAATGGAAATCATATAAAATGACAATGACAAATATAAAATAATCAAAAAGTCTAATTGAAAGCTGGCCTTTGCATCCAGAGGATTAGAATAAAAGTAGGTTAAAGATATGCTTTAATTATCCAAGCTTTGATTAGACACAGTTGGAGTACTATCAGCAGTTGTGGACACTGCACTTTAGGAAGGATATATTGGCTTAAAATGGTATTTTTGCCGGAATTATTGACTGCAAGGATGAAGTTAAGAGGAACAAACACACAAACTAGACTTGTATTCCCTGGAATTTAGATGTTTAAGGGGTGACAAACTAATTTTTAGAAAGGTTAATTGAAAGAAACTGTTTCCACTGTTTGGAGAATCTAGTACTTGGGGTGCAGGCTGAAAATTGTAAATGATGCTAATGTGTATGGTGGTGGTGGAAGTGAATATTTGTGGATGTGTTGCCAGTCAAGTGAACTGCTTTGACCTTCGTGGTATCACCCCTCTTGACTGTAATTGGAGCTGCACTCATCCAGGCATGTGGGGAACGTTCCCTCACACTCCTGATCTGTGCATTGTAGATGGTTGATAGGCTTTCCGGAGTGACAAGATGAATTAATTGCTGCAGACTTATGGATGAGTTGGACCGAAGGGTCTGTATCCATGCTGTTCATCTCTATGTCATTGTAACCCCTGACTTGCTGTGGAATCCTGCAATGAGTGCATGCATTTGGTTCTAATTGATAACTTCAGCAGTAAATTTATGCGCTTGCTTTTTAAAACTTTCTTGTTTAGTCTTTAACTTGTAACACTGTACTTTGAAAACTGCAGAAATAATGCTTAAATTAAAAAGGCTAGCATTCATTTTAGCATTCAATATGTTTCACTGTAAAATGCATGCAACAGTTGATTGCTGAAAAAGTATAGACTGTTGCTTGTCGTTTTCCAGGACTTAAGTAGTCTAAATTATAAATTAAGTCATGTATTTTACATGTTGAGGACCAATAAAGGATTTATTTATGAAACTGTTATGCTGAATTCTATCTTCTGATTTTGTGAAAACAGGGCTGCAATTATGTCAGACAAAGACAAAAGTGAACTTAAAGCAGAATTAGAGCGCAAAAAGCAGCGCTTGGCTCAAATCAGGGAGGAAAAGAAAAGGAAAGAAGAGGAAAGAAAGAAAAAGGAAGTAAGTCACAAATGGTGCCATATATTTGTATCCTGCATGGGTATTTCTTTCCGTATATATGCAGCATGCATTTTTAAAAACTTTTATTGTCTTTATGGGCATAAATGCTTTTATCCAATTAAAAAAAATCCTAACCAAATTAATTGTTGCTTATTTGGAGATTTTTTTTTATCTTTGCGAATACGCTGCTGCTAGTATATATCTGGTGAATTCCAAACCAGTTTTTATTTAAGAAATAGATGTAAACAGCAGTGAATCAAATGTTGCATTTGAAAGTTTTGAGGATTTAAAGATAGACTTCAGATGATGACATACGTAATAGTGCAATGGGATTGTTAGATTAATATTTCTAATACAAGAATGGAGAAACATCCAGCTGATTGTTAGTGCAACACCTATAGGCAAGAAATAATTCCTTTGTATGTCATCATGAAACACTGATTAATTACCAGTGCAAGAATCATCTCGCTAATGTAATAAATATATATTGAAAGTGACCATAAGACATAAGAGCAGAAGTAGGCCATTCGGCCTGTTGAGTCTGCTCTGCTATCAGTGAGATCATGGCAGATTCTGAAAATCCACTTGCCTGCCTTTTCCCAATATCTTAAAAGCCCCAGAAGCCTATCTTCCAGTTTTGAATTCTGCTGTAAGCCCGTTCATGATGTTTTAAAATTCACTGCTACCACCCCATAAAAATATCATCTACATACATCATAAAGATGCCTGAAAGCTGTCCCTCATTTTGTCAGTAAAACATGGCAGGATCTGTTTTTAATTGAAGGCAACCAAATGTTAATAAGAAAGACCATTCTGAGAAATAACAACTCTAGAGGCAACCTTCAGGCCATATGCACATTTACTTAACTTCCAGAGTGTCCCCATTGTGTTTGGTGTCTCTTCTGGAGGACAAAGAAACACTTCCATCTTGAGCTGAGCTTCCTGTAGAAATGCAGCCTTAACATCAATTGGTCTACACTCCTAAGTATTTGTAATCAACAGAGCCAAGAAAATGTTCAAAATTGCGTTTCCTGCTGTGGGTGAATCCACTGTTGTATCTTGGTCCCCCACTTTATCTTCAAAACTTCATTGTTTTAGCCTTATATGACCCAACAAAACATACCATGCGCATTTCCACCTAATTGAAAGAGCTGGCTATTCCCTATCAAGCACTCTGTGTAAACCGAGATTCGTTCCAGTTTTGTAATTCTTGTCATTTTGTAACGTTATTAACTCCTCTTCTAGTATGCTTGTAATCACCAAGCCTTTCCTTATTTGTACGATATTTCCTAACCTTGTTAAACTATGCCTTGTTTTTTGGCCTTCTATCTCCTGGACTGCTACTGTTTGATCTCCCCCTCAAAGTAATAGGATTCCTTTTAATGGTTTGTGATCTCTTTCAAGGGAAATGTTGGCCCCTTAACCCGCAGTTTGAGCTTACACTGCACATTCTTGCTTTCCATCTTTGTACCTCATGTTCCCAATCCATGAGCCTAACCATCTGCACGTCATTTCTATGCAATCACCCAGCTTTTACATTTTACTTTGGCCTTCCCTACTCTTTTTATAGTGGTCACATTTCTTCATTGACTAGCTGTTTCTGGTAAATATTTGAGGTCCGTACCTTCTTTTGGCAGTTATCCTTTGGGAACAATGGCCTCATATTGAACATCAGAACTGATCTATCCATCATCAGACAAACTGTCAATTGCAGCAGTTGGTCATAGCTGTGGAATGTTGGGTATGAGAGGTACCTGGCTCCTTGCTTCTTTTTCTAACTTTTTCAGAATCTGCAAATTTGTAATCCACACAATGCAACCTTGAAGAGTACACCTGTACAGTCTGGTCTGTATGCTGTGCACATATTATTTTACTAATAACTTTTCCCAGATCTCTCCATTCTTTAAGTTCCCGTGTTTTAAAATAAACCATATCTCCCTGATTGAAACTGATTTCCAATGGTATTATCTTATAATTTGAGATTAGCTGAATTCTTTCTGACACTTCAGCTTAAAAGCCTTTCTGGCTGCTTGCGGTGCATTCAAATGTTCTGGAAAATGTAGAGCTAATTGTAGCCCCTTCCCATGCTGGGGGCTGATCACTTATTACTGATGAAACTTTAGGATTCCTACTAAAAAATGAAGTGAGACATACTGTAACCTCCAACTACCTGCAACAAACACTTAGCATGGACAGCCAAACATGGACAGTACAGATGACGTTTACAGCTCGGCTAATCTGTCAAAATTTTAAAACGGTTTATATCTATTAATTGAATGGTTCCTTTTGCATATCCCATTGCTAAAAGTGCAGAGTGCTGCTCTCTTCTTAACTATTATGCTCATGTATTCTAAATTAATTTTTTGCAAATTCCACTGCCATTATTGGAGAGACATTACCTTATCCACAGTTATTTTCTTAATTTTTCTATATGTTGTTGTTGACTGACAATCTGTTTGACAAATCTAAAGTGAAAATATGTTATTCCTTATCCTATACCTTCAAATCAATAGCCACACCCTTGTTGAAATCTTTTGCTAAGGTGAGACATACTATCAGCCATTATAGTTTACTGCCCAATAAATTGTCTCATTTATCACTTATTGTACTTACCATCCCTTATTTCTACATCCTGTACTAAAGTGTCTCAGTTGTATAAAGTGCAAATTCAGACATATTTCCATATCCAGTGTGCTTTCTTCATCAATGGCCTATTTAATAATAACAGTATTTCATTGGGTACTACATAACTAAATGATCAGTTTTGACTATTTCAAAATGGATGACCATTCTTCAAATATTTAAGTGTGTTATCATCCCCAAATTTGAAACTGGTAGCACACTCAAATTCCTTAGCTTTGGTCTGACCCTTTATTACTCACAGTGTCTAGGCAGTGTTTTAGCCATTCTTTTCCACACATTTTCATCTTCAGTTTTGCATGCAACTTACTGAATTTCATTATGTACTTTTCCATGGCCCTTTTCTTAATCTTTTTAAATGTGTCAATATCTGACCATGCCTCATAAGCAGTCAATAAATCATCTTTTGATAAATTTTGACCATGCAAGTTAACAACCTTTCTGAACTTTTATCCACGTTTAAATCATCAGGCTCTTAGTTCCAAAAAAAAAGTTGGTTTTTACCCTGCTTCTATATGGTAATGAAAGTGCTAAAGCCACACCTTGTTTCATTTTTGGTAAAGAAGTAACCCAGGTCTACATGGTAACTTCATTCGTTCAATGGCCATAAGGCACACTTTCAGAAGACTGGTGAAACTAGAACTACACTGAAACTAGACATTTTGACTCACCCATCCTTTGCTACCATTTTTGTACACTAGAAGATAAATGTTTTTGAATAGAGTCCCAAGTCCACAGTTTTAGTGAGAGCCTTATTCAGTTAATTAAACTTCGTGTTTAGTATATAATAACATATTAATATATTCATCACCCATTTCCTCGTTCCATTAGGTCTTGGGCATTCCTTCTGACCATATTAGATGATAATATATATCTATCGATAATTTTGGCATTGATTATAATGTTTTTCCGAAATAATTTGTCAAGTATTTTCACCTAGGGTAACTCATGAAGGGTGAACATTTTTATGAGGTATTAGAGAGCTGAGGGCACCTATAGAACTACATTATGATAGCTTCCTTAGCAGAGATTGGAAAAAATGTTGGTTAAAAGAAAACTCCGTGATAACATAACTTGAAATAGATAACGCACCAAATTTATTTTAGAATTCTATTGCATAATCACAATTAATAACCATATTTTGTAAAAGTGTTGTATTCATAATTTCTACTTCAGGCTGATCAGAAAAAAGAGTTGGTACAAAATGAAGAATCTGATATTGAAAAGAAGCGAAGAGAAGCTGAGGCATTGCTACAGAGCATGGGCATTACACCTGAGCCCTCTGTTGGTATGTATGTGGATTTTGTTAATAAGGTATGTTTCATTTTGTGTGAGAATACATTGTTTTTTCTTTGTGAATATCTTACTAAGTTATGTGCTATTTTGTTTTGGTTTATTTTGTTTTATGAAGGTTGGTTTAAAGTGGGACTTGAATTTAGGATGTGAAAATGAAAGTAAAAATTGCTGCTCACAAATAATCTACATTGGGAGTAGCACTTAATTTAGGTTTGCTTTTAATGTGATGTCAGATTTGTTTGACACAACTGTCTAGACATGATAAATGTTAATCAGTGAAGGTTTAACAGATTCTAATTATTTTTGGCTTACTGAAATATTGAGAGCTAAAGGTTGTATTTTTTTACATTTTATTTTATCCATTTCTTAACACCTAAATGAATTAGCAAATGTTAACATAGAATGCTGTTCTTATCAGATAACAATATTGGGCTATCAGTAGATGGCAGTAGAGCATCATTATGTTATTCTGTCCTTAAAGTATAGTTATGAATAACAATACATTTAAGTTAATAAGTTCAACAGGAACATTAGTCAAAAACAAAATGTTAACCTAAATCTATGTCTAACGATTTTGTTTCTTGTAATGATTTTTTGAGAGTTAAATCCCAAATACAGCACTTGCTCTACTTAGAAATGTTAATTGGGTGTGATACTGTTACTGGTTGTGCTCTGTTCTCACTACTACAAAGGTGTAGAATAACATTAAGCAGATCTCCTGTGGTATTGCTGAGATGAGTTGGAGATGTGCATTTTTGTAACAGCACTATCAACTGTGACAGCAAAGTGTTATATTCTCAAGCATTACAGACTATATTGAAGACTTGCAATACCAAGTGGATCCTCCTTGATGCTGCACACTAAGTCTGAAGATGTAGTTTTTCTTTTAATCACTGTTGCTATTTTATGTTGCTGTTCTGTTGTGTCCACTTTCATTTTTTAAGATGTTCCTTACAGCTATGTTTTTGCCAGTCAATTCCTAATTTATCTGAAATCTCCTTGTGTTGCTCAGTGTTGAATATGTTTGATGGTTCTTGTTGAGAATGTTTATTTTTAATTTTTAAAAATATTTCCATACGTTAAAAGTGATGTATGAAAACAAGTTAATTTTTTTTTGTCTTTCTTCTCTGCTAAAGTTTGCGTATCTCTTTTGACTTGTCTCTCCTCTCTAATTTTCCATTTTCTTTTGGGCATGAAATGGTAGATTGGATAATATAGTGAGGACAAGAATGGTAACACATACTTGGTAAACCTTTTGGTGAGAATACAGACACCAGACAAAAGTGGTTTCCTTATTTCTTTTGTTTTCACCCTTGCTGTAATTCAGTCCTGCTACTCCTTGCTCCCGTATCTCTTTCACTTAGACTGTTCATTCAATCATATATATTCCCCACAATGCTTTTGTTTCTTGTGTTTTCAATTTGACTTGACTTCCTCCCTTTCTGTCCTGATTTGCTCTCCTAGTCAACAGAAGTTGCGTCCTACCTACAGTTGCTCACAACAGCAAAACCACCCCTTATGCATTCACGATTAGCCTTACCAGCATCTTCCTCTGTTTTCAAGTCCTGCACTCATCTCTTTATATTTGTGCAGTTTTCTCCTCTTATTTCTTCTCTTCTGTTGCTCTTCAATTCTTTATTCCTTTCTTTTATAATTCATTAACCCATTCTCATATCCCCTCCAGCATATCCTGTCTGTCCTTACTCACAGCCTCACTTTGTTTTGTATCTTCACATATGCCACTCTATGCTTCCTGTCACATTTCCCCCCTCACCCATTATCTCCTCAACTTGTACTATTCCTTCACACTACCATGAGAAAATCTGTTTAAAGCTGGCTAAAACCATATTTTTCAATAAAAATTTAATAATAGTACAAATAACTCTAGTAGTTAAGAGTTTAAAGAGATATAAGGCATGTTCAGGGAGTTGAATGGAATGAACTGAAATTGAGGAATGGAATAAAAATGATGAACAGTGCTGTGACGGAGTTAACATGAGTTGGCAGGAAAGCTTGGATGAGTGAAAAGAAGGACTAATAAGAGAACAGGATGAGCACAGTGCCAGAGATTAGAATAGTGAGACTGATAAAACAGTAACTTGCATTTATATGGCACCTTTAACACAAATGCACTAAGGCATGTTACAGGAGCCTAATTGAAGAAAAAGTAAATGCATATGAGGCAGGTGTTGGAGGAACCTAAGGTCCCTAGGATTACAGTTGCCAGTCTTCAACCAATTCAACTCACTTCACATGATATCAATTAAATGGCTGAAGGCATCGGGTATTGCAAAAAACTATGGCTCCTGATAACCGTCTGATAATAGTACTGATGGTTTGTGCTTCAGAACTAGACGTATCTCTTGCTGAGCTGTTCCAGTAAAGCTACAACAATAGTATCTGCCTAGCAACAAGGAAAATTGCTCAGATATGTTTGGTCCACAAAATGCAGGACAAATCCAATCCGGCTAGTTATAGTTCCACCGGTCAATTCATGATCTTTAGCAAAGTGATGGCAGATATTGTTGTCCCATGTTAAGCAGCACTTACTCAGCTCTAGCCTGCTCACTGATGCTCAGTTTGGGTTCTGCTAAGGCCACTTATCTCCTAAGAATATTGCGCTCTTAGTCCAAACACTGACAAAAGAGCTAAACACCAAAGATGACGTATGTGTGGCTCCCTTGATATCAAGGTAGTATTTTAGAGCATACATAATGGAAACCTAGCAAAACTGGAGTCAGTGAAAATCAGAGGGAAATGCTGGTGTATTCGATGACAACCACATCTAGTAACAGAGTTGTAACAGTGTTGGAGGATTTGAAGGCCACCATACGCTGGTGCGAACAAGTGCTTAATGATTTAGCCATGGGCCAGATTAGGATATGGACAGCAGTTTTGGATGGTTTCAACTTCAAGTGGATTGTAACGTAGGATATCAGCCAGGAGATTATCAGAGTAGTGGACTCTAGCGTTAATAGAAGAACATAAGAAATAAGAGCAAGAATACGTCATCCAGTGAAATCATGATGGCTGGAAAGTGGAAAGCCTTCAAAAATGAGATAATGAGAGTCCAGAGACAGGATGTTCCTGTTAGATCGAAGAGCAAGGCTAGTAGGTGTAGGGAATGTTGGATAACTAGAGAAATTGAGGTTTTGATCAAGAAAAAGAAGGAAGCATAAGTCAGGTATAGAAAGCAGGGATCGAGTGAATCCCTAGAAGGGTATATAGGCAGTAGAAGGCCAAAAAGGGGATATAAGATAGCTTTGGAAATAGGGTTAAGGAGAATCCAAAGGGATTCTACTAATTTATTAAGGACAAAAGAGTAACAAGGGAGAGGATAGGACCCCTTAAAGATCAGCAAGACTGCATGTGTGTGGCATTGCAAGAGATAGTGGAGATGCTAAACGAATGTTTTGCATCAGTGTTTACTGTGGAGAAGGATATGGAAGCTAGAGAATTTGGGGAAATAAATAGCGACATCTTGAAAAATGTCTATATTACAGAGGAGGTGGTGCTGGATGTCTTAAAATGCATAAAGGTGGATAAATCCCCAAGACCTGATCAGATGTACCCTAGAACTTTGTGGGAAGCTAGGGAAGTGACTGCTGGGCCCCCTTGCTGAGATATTTGTAACATCGACGGCCACAGGTGAGGTACCAGAAGACTGAAAGTTGGCTAAGGTGATGCCACTATTTAAGGAAGGTGGGAAGGAAAAGGCAGGGAACTATAGACCAGTGAGCCTGTAATCACTGGTGGGCAAGTTGTTGGAAGGGATCCTGAAGGATAGGATTTACATGTATTTGGAAAGACAAGGACTGATTAGGGATAGACAACGTGGCTTTGTGCATGGGAAAGAGGATTGATGAAGGCAGAGCAGTGGACATGATCTATATGGACTTCAGTAAGGCATTCAACAAGGTTCCACATGGTAGACTGGCTAACAAGGTTAGATCACGTGAAATACAGTGACAACTAGTCATTTTGATACAGAATTGACTCAAAGGTAGAAAACGGAGGCTGGTGGTGTAGGGTTGCTTCTCAGACTGGAGGCCTGTGACCAGCGGTGTGCTGTAAGGATCAATGCTGGGTCTGCTTTTTTTTTGCCATTTATATAAATGATTTGGATGTGAACATAGAAGGTGTGGTTTGTAAATTTGCAGATGACACCAAAATTGGTGGCATTGTGGACAGTGAAGAAGGTTATCTCAGAGTTGAGCCCAACATCTCAGGAAGGATGTACTGGCCCTGGACCGGGTTCAGAGAAAGTTCACGAGAATGGTCCCAGGAATGGAAAGCTTAACATATGAGGAATGTTTGGGGACTCTGGGACTATACTCACTGGACTTTAGAAGGATGAGTGGGGATCTAATTGAAACTTATAGAATACTGAATGGCCTGGACAGAGTGGATGTGGGGAAGATGCTTCCATTCGTAGGAGAGACTGGGACCCGAGGGCACAGCCTTAGAGTAAAGGGAACACCTTTTAGAACGGAGAAACTTCTTCAGCCAGAGAGTGGTGAATCTATGGAATTCACTGCCACAGAAGCCTGTGGAGGCCAGGCCATTGAGTGCATTTAAGACTGAGATAGATAGGTCCTTGATTATCAAGGGGATCAAGGGTTACAGGGAAAAAGCGGGAGAATGGGGTTGAGGAACTTATCAGCCGTGATTGAATGGCGGAGCAGACTCGATGGGCTGAAAGGAGCAGAAATTAGACCAATGTCTTAAGGTCTTATAGAGTTCAATAGGACCTTGATCAGATGGGCCAAGGAGTCGCAGATGGAGTTGAATTTTAATAAGTGTGACGTGCTGCATTTTGGAAAGGCAAATCAGGGCAGGACTTATATGCTTAATGATAATGTCCTGGAAGTATTGCTGAACAATGAGACCATGGAGTGCAGGTGGAGAAGATAGTGAATAAGGCATTTGATACGCTTGCCTTTATTGGTCAGTGCATTGAGTATAGGAGTTGGAAGGTCATGGGTGCGGCTGCACAGGACATTGGTTAGGCCATTTTTGGAATTTTGTATTGAATTCTGGTCTCCCTGCTTTAGGTAGGATGTTGTGAAACTTGAAAGGGTTCAGAAAAGACTTACAAGAATGTTGCCAGGGTTAGAGGGTTTAGGCCATAGGGAGGGGCTGAATAGGCTGGGGCAATTTTCCCTGGAGTGTCGGCGACTGAGGGGTGACCTTCTAGAAGTTTATAAAATCATGAGGGGCGTGGACGTGGTGAATAGGTCTTTTCCCCAGGGTAGGAAAGTCCAAAACTAGAGGACATAGGTTTAAGGTGAGAGGGGCAACTTTTTCACGCAGTGGGTGGTGCATGTATGGAATGAGCTGCCAGAGGAAGTGGTGGAGGCTGGTACGATTACAATATTTAAAAGGCATCTGGATGGATATGTGAATAGGAAAGGTTTAGAGGGATATGAGCCAAATGCAGGCAAATGGGACTAGATCAATTTAGAATATCTGGTCAGCATGGACGATTTGGACCAAAGGGTCATCTCCATGCTTATAGCTCTATGACTCTATGTCTGATCTATCTCACCTGCATTTTCCTGCACTATCCATGTTCCTTAATGTTTTTACAATATAGAAATGGGGAGGTGATGATCTAGTGATATTAGCGCTATTACACTTTCAATAATGTTGTAGGGATAATACTTCGCATTCTTTCTCTTGTCACCCTCTTCCCCCCGATAAAAAGGGAATTGTCTTAATGTTTCCAAGCACTGAGACCCACCTTTGCATTTGCATGACTTGTATTAAGGGTATATCTGAACTCCTGCAAAATTAATGATTTTGTTCTCCCTATGGCCAACATGGTAGAAATAAACACAAACAATTATTTGGTTCAACACCATGTGGCTCAATCCTGCTGAGGTATAACAGGTATATAAATCCTTATTAAAGTTCCATATCCATTCACTAATTGACAGAGCAGTAATTCTGCTTCTAGGTCTTCACCACCAATTCTACTAATAAGAATTTACAATATGTAGTGAGTTGACTTGAATCTGTTTGACATCTTGTTGTTTTATTACATTATGCTGGTTAAATTTTAAAAGTTGTGCAAATTATAGATGAAGTTCGTAAAAGTAGGCTTTTGTCTCTAGTATTTCACGTATGATATGTGCACTGTTGGTCCACAAATCTTGACATTTTGTATACAGTGGGATCTTTTCTGGCCTGGAAATAACACTGTTGATGTCAAACAACTTCAGGCTTGTTTTTTTGCATTGATTATATATCTGTTTATATATTTAAATGTATTTAAACTTAAATGCCAAAATGAACTAGTTGTGCTGATTTACTTTATTTTGTGCTGTATATCCTATGTGGTGAAAGAGGTTAAAAGATTTAAAAATTATTTTTGCATGTGATGTCACAGTTCATGTTAAATGCAAATTGTTCTTGATGTTAAGATACAATTTTCTGAATTGTTTCATTGTATCATGTTTTACTTATATTATTCATCAATTTGTAAACAAAACATCACCTGTTGTGTTCGAATTACCCTAATCACTGAAGGCATAACAGCCTAATAGGCATGATCCCTTTTCTCTGACCTACATATGACATTTGATTCTAGAAAGGAGCCTTTACACACTACATAAACAATTTATGTATAGTATATTCATAAATGTTTATTTTCACAAATTGGAAAACAGATGTGTTATTGGCTCTGAATGTTACTTGTATTAAAATGTTTTGTGATTTGGTACAAATGTTGTGTGAGTTTTTGCTCCATGATAATATGTATAAGTCAGCAAAAGGGATAGTGCGTGTTTGGATTTGTTGAGTAACCAGCAAGATACTGTTGTCTTATATTCGAGGAAAGCATGACTAAAGTGCACAGATGATTCCAAATTTACTTCATCCAAGCACTGACTGCATACATTGTTAAGTGCATGAAACACTGCATGGAATTTAACTTTGCTTTTTCCTTTCTCTCTTTTTAAATTTCATTTCATTCATGTATTTTTCTTTAATGCCATCACGTTTGTTTTATTCAATATTTCATGTTAAATTAATTTTGAAACATCATTACCAGTGCATCCACTACGGGTAGTAACAGCGGATACCTGTCTGTTTCACTATTTAGTCCCTCCTACATCTCCTCCCTCAAAATCGGTGAGTACACCAAGTGAGGCTGGAAGCCAGGATTCTGCTGATTGCAGTCTTGGGCCAAGGTATGACCACTTATTTACATTTCACTCTGCATTTTTTGTAGTATGTATGCAGTGTATGATTTCTGATGTGCATGAATTGTATGATTTCATTGTCTCAAAAGCAAGAAATTTGTTCATTTGTACAGTATTTCCTCCCTTTACAGTTTTCAGAAGCTACATGTGTGATTTTGAGGTGGTTATAAATGCCATTTTTCAGGCAGCTGCTGGATGATGCATGATACCAGCATGGTGACTGCTTTCATTTAAATACTTGTTCTTGTTTCTTCCTCACCAATGATATAGTGCTATGCTGTTGCTTAACATCATCTTAGAACATAAGAACTAGAAGTACGTGTAGGCAATTCAGCCCATTGAATCTGTTCTGCCATTCAATTTGGTTATGGCTAATCTCATCTCTGCTTCGACTCCATTTTCCCAGCCCCTCTCCAAAGTCCTTAACTCTGTCTTTCTGCTGTTCTTGCATCCATTGCACCCTAGAGCAATAATTACATAGATTCACAACCCTTTGAGAGAAGTAATTTCCCCATCTCTGTTTTAAATTTCCAGCCCTTAGCCTAAAATTATAATCTTTCATTCTAGATTGTCACATCTACTGTATATCTATTTTGTCAATGCCTGTTATATCTTACATACATCAAATAGATCTCCTCATTCTTCTAAACTCTAAATAATATAGGCCAAAACTATTCAATTTTTCTTTATAACACAAAACTCCTATCTCTGGTATCAATCTAGTGAACCACCTCTGAACTGCTTCCAATGCAGCTACTTCCCTTCTAAAGTAAAGGGACCAAAATTATGCACAGTACTCCAGACGCAGCATCAGTAATGCCTTGTACAATTATAGCGAGACTTCCTTACTTCTATATTCTATCGCTTTAATAATAACTGCCAAAATTGCATTTGGCTTCCTTATTATCTACTGTACCTGCATACTCGTTTTCTGCGATTTCGTGCACAGCGACACCTAGATCCCTCTGCACCGAAGCACTCTGAAGTTTCTCTCCATCTAGATAATAAGTTGCCCTTCTACTCTTCCATGCAAAATGATTCACTCGACACTTGTCCACAATAAACTCCATCTACCACATTTTGGCCCATTCACCTAATCTATCCATATCTGCTTGTAAATTTCATTTATGCAGCTTGCTTTCCCACCTAATTTAGTGTTATCTACACATTTGGTTATCGTACCTTCTATCCCTGTATCCAGGTCATTGACATTGATTGTAAATAGTTGGGGCCTGAGGAATAAATCCTGTGCCACTCCACCAGTTACAACTTGCCAACCAGTTAAAAACCCATTTATCCTAACTCTCTTTTCTGTTGGTGAGCCAGTCCTCTGTCCAAGCTAATATATTATCCCTAACCCCATGGTGATCTTATCTGGTGTATTAAAATTTAATGTGGCACCTTATCAAATGCCTTCTGGAAGCCCAGATAGATGACATCTACAGTGTTCATTTTGGTAGTCAAATCTTTAGCAAATTAGTCAAATGTGACTTATTCTTCATGAAACCATGCTGATTCTGATGCATTGCATTTTGACTTTCCAAATGTCCTGTTATCACTTCTTTCATAATGAATTTTAACAATTTCCCAGTCACAGACATTAAACATTCCGGTCTGTGGTTTTCTACTGTCTGCCTTCCTCCCATTTTGAGTGAGGATGTTTTATTTTAGAATTTTTCCAATCCACAGGAACCTTTCCAGCCTCCAGGGAATTTTAGAATATTATAACCTGTTCTCTCTGCTGCTAGTTTTAAGACTTAAGAGTGTAGGCCATCAGGCCCTGGTGACTTCTCTGCCTTTAATCACAATAGTTTTCTTCGCACTTTTTCCCTAGTGAAGATGATTATTTTAAGTTCTTCATTTTCTATAATCTCTACATTGCCTGTTTCTATCAGGATGATGTGAAGATGCCAGTGTTGGACTGGGGTGGACAAAGTCAGAAGTCACACAACAGGTTAAATTCCAACAGGTTTATTTGAAATCAAAAGCTTTCGGAGCGCTGCTCCTTTGTCAGATGAAGTCATTGCGCCAAGAAAGAATATCTAATCTATTCAATGATCTCTCCTTTGAGTCTACCCTTGTCAATTTAATTAATCCAGTCTATATGCATATTAAAATTACTCATGATTATGGCTGTACATTTCTTATAAGTCCCCAGTATGTCCTGGTTTATACTTGCCCTACTATGAAACTACTGTTTGGGGACCTATAGATTACTCCTTCCAGGGACTTCCTTCCCTTGCTATTTCTTAATTCTACCCAAGCATCCACTCCCTCCACCACCGATACTCAGTAGCTCCAGTGTGTACTATCTACAGGATGCACTGTAGAAGTTCACCAACAATCCTGAGACAGCACCTTCCAAACCCACAACCACTTCGGCTAGGACAAAGGGCAGCAGATATATGGGAACACCACTACCTTCAAGTTTCCTTCCAAGCCACTCACCATCCTGACTTGAAAATATATTGCTGTTTCTTCACTGTCACTGGATCAAAATCCTGGAATTCTCTCCCTAATGGCATTGTGGGTCAACCCACAGCAGGTGGACTGCATTGGTTTACGAAGGCAGCTCACCACTGCCTTCTCAAGGGCAACTAGGGATGGCCAATAAATGCTGACCAGCTAGCGACACCCACATCCCAAAAATGAATTTAAAAAAATCTCATTCTACATCTTGCTCTCTAGTGCCTTTATAATTTCTCATTAGAACACTGAGCTTGCCCTTTGCTAATAAACATGTACCACTCGTTTTCCTTCCTGTTTATCCTTCTGAAACACAGAGTGTATCCTTCAATATTCCATTCCTAAACGTGGTCAACCTGCAACCACGTCTCAGTAAAATTGCCACCAAATTGTACTCATTTATTTCTATTTGCACTGTTATCTCATTAATTTTATTCTGAATGCTTCATGCATTGTGTAGAAAAGGACCCTTTGAAAAAAGCCCAGTTGAAAACAACTCTCGATTCTAATTCCACTTTCTAGCCTTGTATGCCTTGGCATCGCAAATACATATCTAAGTACTTAAATGTTTTGAGGGTTTCTGCATCTTAAAAGCAGAGAGTTCCAGATTCCAACCACCTCCTGAGTGAAAATGTTTTCCTCACATTTCCTCTAAATCTCCTGCCCCTTACATTAAATATTTGCCCCATTGCCATTAATTCCTCCACCAAGGAGAAACGTTTCTTCCTGTCTACCCTATCTGTGCCCCTGTATTTTATTCATTTCAATCAAGTTTCCTGTCAATCTTCTGTGCTGTAAGGCATACAGCCCCAGTCTGTCCAATCTCTCCTCTTAGCTGAAACTTTTCAGCCAATAGCAACGTCCAGGTAAATCTCCTCTGCACCCTCTCCAGTGCTATCACATTCCTCCTATAATGTGGATTCCAGAGCTGCACACAAAACTTTAGCTGTGGCCTAACCAACGTTTATAAAGTTCCAGCATAACCTCTTAAATGCTGTGTCTTGGCTAGGATTGTTGTATTGTCTAACCCTATCCATATTCTTTTGTGATCCTTTTGTGCAATGTGACATTCACACGTTCTGTCCCTTCCTTTTTTATTCTGGTAACAATTTGCCTCATCACTAACTTGCACTCCTACCTTCTCCTTTAATTTTTAATTTTCCATGCAAATGAGCCCTCCTCTCCACTATTTAGTTTAAATCCCCATCTACAGTCCTAGCTCTGCAATTCACCAGTACTTTGGTCCCAATATGATTCAAGTGGATTCATCTTGCAATAATGGGCCTACGTTTAAGATCTTGAAGTGGGAACTAATTCTGCTTTTTTATTTACTATGCTGTTATGTGAATAATTCCTCATTGTTATATTTTAGATTTAGAAGTATCTTAAATTGCATAATGAAATATTCAGTCATATTATCATTTGTTAAATACAAGAACATGTAAGCCCAATGGAATGAATCTTTTGTTGGTGTTGATATTGTCCTTCTCCTGATAATATTTGATCACTGTTTCCAAATTGTTTGAGGAGGAATAGTTTTGTGAAGTGCATTCCCAAAGATAATTGAAAATCCAACTTCCCAAATATCATCAATAATATCGAGTTAGTAGGGAAAGATGAACTTAAAATAACGCTATTACAGGGAAAATGTGTTACACAAACTATTGAAACTAAAGATTGACAAGTCCCCCACGGCCAGAAAGCATGCTAGAGTCTTAAAAGAAGTAATGACACAGATGATGGATGTATTGATTATAGTCTTCCAAAATTCCTTCAGTTCTGTAAGGGTTTTGCTGGACTGGAAAATAGTGAAAATAGGTTAAAAGAAGAAAACTGTAAGTCAGTTAGCCTAGGCTCAGTTACTGGGAAGCCACTACAATCCATTTTAAACAAACCTATAGCAAGATCCACAGTAAATTATGAATCGTTCAGGTAAAGCCAAAATAACGTTTTGATAGGAAAATTATTTTTAACTAATCGATTAAAGTTTTATTGACCAAATAACAACCATGATGGATTGCGTGAAAACTGGTAGATATGTTGTGCTTGGATTTCCAAAAGTTGTTTGATAAGATATACATCAAAAGTTGTTACCCAAAATAAGAAGAACATGACTTTGGGGATAATACACATTAGACAGATAAAGGATTTGTTAACTAACAAGAAGCAGAAGATAAGGATAAATGGGCCATTTTTGGGTTGGCAAGTTGCCACTAATAGAGTGCCACAGGGATTAGTTTATGTTTTGTTCATTCGTGGGATGTGCACGTTGCTAGCTGACCAGCATTTGTTGCTGTCCCAAGTTGCGCTAGAGAAGGTAGTGGTAAGTTGCCTTCTTGAATCGCTGTAGCCCATGTGCTGTGGGTTGACCCAGAATGCCATTCGGGAGGAAATTCCAGGATTTTGACCCAGCAACAGTGAAGGAACAGCTATATATTTCCAATTCAGGATAGTGAGTGGCGTGGAGGGTCCCATGTACCTATTGCCCTTGACTGTCTAGATGGAAGTGATCATGGATTCGG